GCATAGTGGGTAAAGCCACCGCCTGCAGTGCCAGCATCCCATATGGGCGCCAGTTCAAGTAGTCCCAGCTGCTCCACTTACAATCCAGCTCTCTGCTAAGGCCTGGGAAAGCAGTGGAAGATGGCCCAAGTGCTTGGGCCCCTGCACCCACATGGGACACCCAGAAGAAGCTCCTGGCTTTTGGCTTCAGATCGGTGCAGCTCCAGTCATTGCAGCCAGTTTGGGAGTGAACCAGCAGATGGAAGACCCTCTCTTTCTCTCTGCCTCTCTGTAAAACTCTGAATTTCAAATAAATAAATAAATAGTTAAAAAAAAGCAACTATTGATAATGTGGTTATGAATTTTAGAGCCTAAATCAATTAAATAAAAAAGAAAATAGCAGGAGAAAAGCAATGAAATCAATAACTGATTAAAGACATCAATAAATTAATGTCTCCAATCAGACTAATCATGACATAAAAGGCACAAAAACCAATTATCAGCATCAGAAATGAAATAAAGAATAATATTACAAATCCTATAGGCATTCTAAGTATAATAAGAAAATATTAACTATTCTATTTAAATAAATTATTTTATTTATAAATTTAATTACTAGCTGAGAAACATTATTTTTATAAGAATTTAGCATTTAATAAAAGAAATAATATTTAATGCAGTCAACACAGTAATCACATTTTCTATCTATTCAAATTATAGACAGAATACTCATTTGAGTTTAGAAACTCTTAAAGATTACATGCAGCTGATATAGCTTATCAAATTATAGAGTATTTATTGCTAATTTCACAAAATAACTTATGCTAAAATCTCTCCAGAAAAAAGGCTAGACCTTGTCAACAATGCTTTCCCTTCTATATTAGCAAGCAAAACATGGTTGGTCTACTGTATATACAAAATCTTTCCTTTTCTAATGACCTTTCTGGATTCTGAAGTTCTTTTTTTTCTGGAAAAAAGATATACAAAGCCAAGATTGATGTCAAAGATGAATTTGTCAATCTATTAGATTTTTCTTCAATACAAATCAGCCTCAAAAGCATTTGCATGAACTTATTATATTCATTAGAAAAGCTATTTTACAGAACAGGCCATCAAAGAAGGAGGTACCTTTCTCTGAAGGGAGGAGAGAACTTCCACTTTGACTATGATCTTGTCTAAATAAGATCAGAGTTGGTGAACTCAAAAGGCTTCCATAGCCTTGGCAACTCATGACAAGAGCCAGAGTGTCAATTGTTAAGTCAACAACAGGAGTCACTGTGCACTTACTCCCCATGTAGGATCTCTGTCAATGTGTTGTACTATGTGAATTAATGCTATAACTAGTACTCAAACAAACAGTACTTTACACTTTGTGTTTCTGTGTGGGTGCAAACTGTTGAAATCTTTACTTAGTATATACTAAATTGATCTTCTGTATATAAAGATAATTGAAAATGAATCTTGATGTGAATGGGATGGGAGAGGAAGTTGGAAATGGGATGGTTGCAGGTGGGAGGGTGGTTATAGGGGAAAAAAAAGCCATTGTAATCCAAAAGCTGGATTTTGGAAATTTATATTTATTAAATAAAAGTTAAAAAAAAGAAAAACTATTTTATATAAAGTGAGAATTATGAAAGTCATAAAATACAAAATCTATTAGAAGTGGCAGTTCTCTTAACATGGAGATTTACCTAGCACAAATGCAAGTAATTAGTAACATCTGAAGTACATTCTCCCCTAGGACTAAAGGCCATCTGGTTGACCTTGCACCAGCTCAATGGGGAAGGCAGATCTGTAAATCACTTTTTCCAAATGTTAGCACTCCAACCAGCCACAAAAAGAAGAAGGATGGACCATGGATGAGGTTGGGGGGAACCTCTTGTTTCACTTATCTTTAAATTGATTTTGATGCTTCCTTGGCCTGCAAATAAAACACTAAATAGATTTTTTTAATGTTCCACCCAGAAAAGGACAAGCATAGGACCAAGTTACAGTGACAGGGTAAGGTTTCAAGGCAAAAGAGCAAGTAGGCAAGGTATTATTAGAGCATAAAGATTCATGAAGTTTTTTTAAAAAATGCAAATGAGCTCTGTCTGATGCTATTGTTAGTTATTGAATTTCCTGAAAACATCTTCCAATTCCTGGTTTCTGATTGAAACACAGTGATAGATGTTTTGATATTTGGAAATACAAGGTTAATTAATTGAAATATATATCCATAGGTATTTAAACAGAACTGTGCATGCAAACATGTCACACATGCATGCTTGTGTATGTATAGCCAACACTATAGGAAGTCCCATTATTTTGATGTCTAGAATAAACCATTCTGGGGGGCCAGCATTATAGCACAGCAGGTAGTACTATCATTTACAAAGCCAGCATCCCATATCAGAGTTCCAGGGGGTCCTGGCTGCTCTACTTCCAAACTGGCTGCCTGCTACTGTGCTTGGGAAACCAGCAGAAGATGGCCAACTACCTGGGCCCCTGCCACCAACATAGAGACCTGGTTGGAGTTTCAGGCTCACGGCTTCAACCTGGTCCAGCCTTGGCTGTTGTGGCCATTTTGGAGGTGAATCTGTAGATGGAAGGTCATTTTCTCTGTTTTTCTCTCTGTCGCTTGGCCTTTGAAATAAATAGATTAAATCTTAAAAATAAAACCACTGTGGAAGAAACTCAGTAACCTCCTCAATGTGACACCCACATAAGTTATCATTTGATTATTTGAGAAACTTGAAACAGGCAAGTTGAGAAAAGCATACTGTGAAATCTCTTAAGAAAATGATATTGATTTAAAGGTTGAAATTTGTGTATTTTATCAACTCTTTATGGCCATGCTACTTTTCCTATACACCTTGCCCAATGTAGCCTAATTCATTTAAGAAATTCCTTAATCCACTGATTTTAAAGTTATGGATTTTTATTACATATTTTCTTCCTTTTGATGTGTCTCTGAAACAATATTCTAATTAAGTGATGTTCTGCCTCTGGGTATTTACTAGCCATATTCTGGGGAAGGACAACATTGTAGAACTTTCAGATCCTTAATTTATCATTTCAGATTCCACGTAGGTTATGAACTAAGGTCCGTCTTATTCTGCAAGAATCTATTTTGTATTTGAGAGCATTTAAAATATTACGCAGAGGGGCTGGCGCTGTGGCCCAGCAGGTTAACGCCCTGGCCTGCAGTGCCAGTATCCCATATGGGCTCTGGTTCAAGTCCCAGCTGCTCCTCTTTCGATCCAGCTCTCTGCTATGGCCTGGGAAAGCAGTAGAAGAGGGCCCAAATCCTTGGGTCCCTGCACCCCCGTGGGAGACCTGGAAGAAGCTCCTGGCTCCTGGCTCCTGGCTTTGGATCCGCGCAATTCCGGCCATTGTGGCCATCTGGGGAGTGAACCAGTGGATGGAAGACCTCTCTGTCTCTGTTTCTATGTCTCTCTGTAACTGTCTTTCAAATAAATAAATCTTTAAAAAATAAAATATTATACAGAGTATTTTTAAAAGCCTATCATAACTTCTAGTCACTAAGTAGCACAGCAATCATTGCCCTCTACAGTTTCATATGTATTTCTAGGATATAATATTTAATTTTCTTCTGTAAAATATGTCTTAATTTCTTTATGCTCAAAGATTTGATAAATGATACCTGGTGACAAACTTGGTAATACTTACATTAAAAGTTTGGGAGATTTCTAAGAAAGTTCAAGAGAGATAAAGCAGGTTCAAACATATAATCTGTTAGATTACTCCGTGTCCAAATACCAAGAACAGAAAACAGAGGGAAAAACTGTACCAACTCCTCAACGCCTTTTCTTTTATATGTCATAGTTCTCAGCTTGGAAGACCAAAGCATGCGCAGACTACAAGATGCTTTAGTGAGTAATTAAGAAACATAAAAGGACACTTCAAGGGGTCTGTTTTCCCATTCTCAAATGCATAGCTATGGTTTGAAGGCTCCTAGGCTAAGGAAGCAATTAGCAGCTCACACATTCGGGAGTTCTAAATATGGCTCCTTCAGTGCTTATGATGACCTTGGGGAAAGCACTAGGTGACTTACAAAGAAAGGAGAAAAAAACAGTCATTTGACTGATAAGTGTCAGTCATGCTGCTATTTGAAATTTGAGATAACAGAGCATTTCAGAGGCACCCTGCTTTCAAGTCAGAGTACATTGTTAAGGACGGGAAAAACAAGTGTCATGACAATGAGGCTTTATGTCCTCAGAGCTGAAAGAAATAATGAAACTGACTCTGATTAGCAAGCTGGTATTCCTTCACCATTTCTTAGCCCCTCTGTCCAATTAGGATGGGTTCCTGGACTCAGCAAAACCACCCATCTGTAAGCTCTGTGAACCATATACATTAAAGCTCCTGTACCCATTTGGCAATCACCTCCTCAGAGGACCTTACACTTCTCATTTGTGTGAAACTCTGAAACCACATCCATTTCCCTTAGCATTCTGTAGATAGCATTTGTACCCAATAACCAAAAGCACATTGCCAACGATTCTCTCGGGTCCTTTTCAGTTACTGAGGGTAGTCTGCAACCTCAGGAGATCCTTGAGGAAATAGAAGTACTATTAGAACAACACATGGAGTAACCAGTTCTCAGATCAGTGCCCAAAATGTATTGCAAGAATTGTTTATATTGAACCTGCACAGCTCTTTCTGCTGGTGAGGACCAGCACCAGCTGGGTGCTTCGCTACATGGCCAGGTGAACAGTAAGATCAAAGAAGTTACACTTTTGGCTCCTCCCCATCTCCCCAGGCACACACATGCCAACACAAAAGAAATGTAAAACTTAAAAAGACAGCATACACGTCAAGCATTTTCCTAAACACTGCCTACTAACCAATAATCTAAAATTACAATATCAGCCAAAAAAGCAGCCAGTAATTAATTTTTTAATTGGTCAATACTGGGTAATATTTTGCTATCTTTAATTAATCAATTTTTAAATCTGGATAAGAAAGGAAAAAAGACTGAGTCCCATTTCCCCCAGAGTGTATATCAACTCTCTTACCATCAAATGTCAAATAAACTCTTGCTTGGGGCTGGGAAGATCCTTTTACAGAGACAGAGCAAATAAATATTCCAAACAAGACGCAAATCGCCCGGAATCCCATCTCTTCAGATTTGCCAAGTTAATATCCAAGGGAAAATACCTTCAAAAGAGAGATGACAAGCATGTTATATTTCATTTCACATTTTAGGAGTACAAATACACAGTCCTCCAGACAGAGCCTCCTATTCTTGCAAGATACATCTGAACTTCTACAGTCATGCAAACAGTAGGAGGTGCTGCGACTTTGCCTCTCACATGTGAAAATTTGGATTTAGTTCATTTGTGTCTGGAAATCTTTGCAACAAGAGAAACTGTTTCATCTTTCAGCTAGCAGAACAAAGTAGCAAGGAAACACACTGATTCCCAAAGGAACACTAGGTTTTTCAAATGGTCTCTAAAAATCCACGACATTAAAATGACTTGAGAATGTTACCAATAAAGTATTCCTTGATGAAATCTCTTTCTCCCTACATTGATAGGAGAGAAATCCCCCATGAATATTCATACGAGCCCACTCACTTCCACAGTCATTAGCTGTTTTGGAGTAATTGTCTCTGAAAGGGTGTCTCTAAGCACAAATCTAAGTGTGCTCAATCCTTGAGGGCTGAAATTACTCAAATCAGTTATCTGCCAATTTATCCAGATGACCAGGCAGCTGTTAAATGATGTACATGAGGTAACCATGGCCTCTTGCCAAATCCAAACCAATGACCGAGTGGTGAGTAATCCAAGGAGCCCGGTAGCTACCAATGCATATTTTAAATAAATCAAACAGAAAGTGGGCTGTCAAAATCCCAAAAGATAACTCAAAGAGACAAGAATTTCTGTTTGACATGGAGCTGATACATGCTATCAACTAAAGTCTGAATACCAAGGAAACTCAGGTAAGGTGTCCATAGGAGCTCTAGCCACCATACTATGCTAAATAAACTCAGGACCATAAAATAAAAATCCCATGATTTTACATGTACAATTCTATGATAAAATGGCATGTCTGTTTAATTTAGAAATTTATTATTTTTTTTTCAAGTTACAACAAGGCTGACCTTTTACATCTGAAGGCTTTTTAAAGTTGAAATCCCATCACTAATTGCAGGCAATAAAGAAGTACCACTAACAATCCCGCCTGAATGACTGCTTCAACACAGAAGGGCAAGAACAACTGAACTCAACACGCAATCTAAAGCAAAAACTCTCAGCTGCTCTCCTAGGTGGTGCATGTGCCATGAGTTAGAGATGAACCCCCCCCCCCCGCCCTTTTTTTTTCCCTAACACAGCTGGGGAATCCCTCGAGATGTTTGGGTTGGTAATTCTCAAAAGAAACGTTGTCTTACTGCTTCCACAACCCCTTCATCCTGTCATACGTAAATGAAGGTGGAAGAAAATTGATTCGAGGGATGATTTTTCCCTTAGTCATCTACCTCTGGGTTTTGCTGATTTGATAGTTAAATTTATAAAAGCTATTAAGATGCATAGCCTTTGTTGATGAAGCAGGCTGATAACACGCCACACACTCCCCCCCCCCCCTTTTGCTATTGCCAGTATCTTCTCTGATACCTATAACGCCCCCACCACCACCATCACCGCCCAGCAAAGGGACAGAAGCCACCAACTGCAAATAATACTGAGCATTGAGGGGGTAATGCCGCCGGGGTAGGGAGCCCTACTGATTTAAACCCGGCCTCTGATGACAGGGGGAAGCCAAGAGTCTTAAATGTGCTCCCCACGCCCCCCAGGACTTGCTACTGCTTCCTCTTCACCTTGCTCAGGGGGTCTTCCCAACTCCTGGTCACAAACTAGTACCCGGCCAGGAAAGGGCTATGCGAGGGGTCCCGGAGCCGCTCTGCCTCGCCCGGCACAGGCGCACACAACTCCGAACTCCCCGCAGGTGTCTGAGCTGGGCTTAACAACTCTAGCCAGGCTTCCAGCTAGGGGCAGCGCGAACCCGACAAGCCGCGGGTGGGCCAAGTCCACACGCGCGGGATCGCAGTGGGGTCTTTTTGCCAAATGCGTCAAGCCAAGCAAAGACCCAGCGCAGCTTACCCACGGTACACGAAACCAGCGTAGAAAAGTCACCAAGGTGCCACCGGGCGGGGTGACGCCTGTGTCTCCAGTCCTGTCCCCCACCCCGGCCGGCCTTTAAAGGTCTATCCCGGGTCCTCGGAGTTTCTTTGTAAAGGAATCCTCCCGTGCCGAGCCCGCAGCCCGTGTCCGCCTCGCTCAATCAGGCCGCGCGCAGTGAATGGAAAGTGTCCGGGCGCGCCGCGGGGCAAGCGCGCGGGTGTCCGGTTACAGCGCCGCGCGGCGCAAGGCTCGGGCCGCCCCGGCGCACCGCCCAGCCGGCTCGCCTCCACGGGCAGGGCAGACTCGGACGCATCCCCGGCGGCCGCGAGGCCCCACCCAGAGCGGCGGCCGCCCGAGGGTGGCCGGGAGCCGCGAGGGCGGGGCGGGCTGCCTGGGCTAAATGGGCCGGGGCGGGAGCGCCGGCCACGGCCACCCTGCCCCTGGAGCCACGTGCGCTCCGAGCCTCTGGGTACCGCCGGCTCTTGGCCGGCGCGTAGGCTTTGCTTGCCCGGTAAAATCCCCAAGTTCGGAGCAGAAGGAGTAGTGCCTCCTTTTAAGGCAAAGTGGTGCGTTTGGAACAAGGCGAGAGTCTTACCCTTACCCCCTAAAAGTAGTCGAGATGAGTCTGGTTGCCGAAGTTGATCCCCGCGATGGGTCTCACTTCCTGGCGCGTTTCCTAAGGTTCTTTAGGCAGGGTCTTTTTGACCTCTCAGCGCTGACTCACACCACCCCCAGGAAGCCCCCCCACAACATGCGTTCAGGCAGAAACCCTGTCACAACTGCGTGCAGGCAGCACTTACGCTGGGAGAGGCAGGTTTCCAAATCCGAGATCTGGAGATCCGCTTCCCGCCTTACTTTCAGGCACACGAGTGGAACTCTGAAACTGACTTGGTTGTGGAAGTGAGAACTGCTGCTCTGAGCCACAGCAGAGCTGGGAGGTTTGAACACCGGGAGGCACGCGCCTTGATTCCGTAAATGAGCAGACACTTGCCGAAAACCACTGTGGGCCGTAGCCCAGTAGATGTCAGTGTACGGAGGCAATGCACAGTGGCATTTCTCCACCTTGTAAAACGAAGCAGAATGCGCCACATCCCTACATAGGGCCTCATACAAAATATGGTGACAGCGGATGCGGGCTCTGGCAGGAGGAAGGGCAGACCGGTCCCTGGACACTTGGACACCGCCTGCAGGGCCCAGAGGACATAAATTTATCTGACCCTTGCTGCCTTTGACAAGTGAAGGGATCACGTCAAATGAGAAGGCAGACGGAAGGGTTCAAAAATGATATTCCAGGGACCGTGTTACTTTCAAACTTACCCATTTTTTTTTTTTTAAGTTTTATTGATTGATCGATTTGAAAGGCAGAGAGAGACACAGGGAGATGGAGGGAGAGGGATTGAGATCTTCTATTTGCTGGTTCACTTCCCCAAATGCCTGGTCAAAGACAGGAGCCAGGACCTCCATCCAAGTCTCTCACATCAGTGACAGGGACCCTAGTGCTTGGGCGGTCTTCCGCTGCTTTCCCAGGTGCAATAGCAGGGAGATAGATGGGAAGCAGAGCAGCCGGGACTCCAACCAGCACCCATATTGGATGCCAGTGTCACAGGCAGTGGCTGCACCACCTCTGTTTGGGAAACAAGTTCCAACTGAGTGGACCGGTGATTTCAAAGCATCTGATAGAGTAATAAACTATTTGGGAGAACTGCGAGTGCAGTCAGTAACAATGTGTGCAGCTCCCTGACATACGTTTGTTATAACTGAGTTAACCCACGAGACATCTGACAGCATTGAAAACCAGATGTGACTGTGAGTGAGCACCCTGCTTACTCCTCTGGACACTTCTGAAACTGATTAAGAGGCTGGTTACTCCGGCCACGATTAGCTTGCTGCTGATCTCTGAGTCAGCACTTAAAAATTAAGGGTGGAGAAGAACAAATCATTAGAAAGAAGATAGAGGTGAGCACTAAAATTATATATTCACTTGGAAGTGTGGAACCTTTAGAAATTGATTAATCTACAAATCTTGTAAGGTAGAATTGGCTTACACCATTTTATTTCCAAGACTCAGGTAACCAGGATAAAGAAATGCAAGGTGAAAACTATGTCAAGTGCTGTGTTTACCAGTGAGCTGAATTCCAAACTCCAATCTTCTTAGAAGTGTACCTGTGAAATACATGAAATCTGTTTTCATTATGTGAACAAAATTTTTTAAAAAGTGCAAAAACTCCGGGCAGGCGCTGTGGCATAGTAGGTTAAGCCTCTGCCTGCAGCGCCAGCATCCCATGTTAGTGCTTGTTCAAGTCCCAAGTGCTCCTCTTCCGATCCAGCTCTCTACTAATGGCCTGGGAAAACAGTGGAAGATGACCCAAGTGCTTGGGCCTCTGCACCTGTATGGGAGACCTGGAAGAAGCTCCTGGCTTCAGACTGCTCCAGCTCTGGCTGTTGCAACAATTTGCAGAGTGAACCAGTGGACAGAAGACCTCTCTGTCAGTCTCTCCCTCTCTCTGTAACTCTGCCTTTCAAATAAATAAACAAATCCTTTTTAAAAAAATTATAAAAACTCAGAATCAGTTCAAGTTCTCACACATAGTCACAAGGCTTTGGACACTAGAAGAAATTAACTGATTTAATTACAGTCTAGGAAACTTGTGTTGCTATTTCCTCTATCTTTCCTAAATAAACTTCTTTTCTATGTGTTCCAGGGGACTTATGAAATTTGCTTATAGCTCTGCCATCCACAGTTGGCCATGGCTCACAATGAATCACTAGTTTGATGGTAGGCATTTGCCAATAAATATTCAATCCCAAGGACACAGTTGGTGCTCAGGCCTTTCTGAAATTTTCACAGTGACAAGAGCTCCTTGGAAGATGCATCTATGTTTCCTTGGCCAAACTGCTTAAGGGTCTAAAAAACCCTAGCAAATTAGGATGTATATAAGTAATACTGGCAGCCAATGCCACTCATTGAGAATGGGGTCTCTATACAGTTGGGGAATGACATGAACTAATGAGGAAGCTTGTCTGTCCAAAGAGGGGGTAGCCCTGAACTGATCTAATGGAACAATTTAATTTAGAAGGTGTAAATGGCAAGCTCTACCTCCATCCAATGTCTTGGAAAAACATCAAAGTTAAAGCACTTACGGGGCTGGCATTTTGTACTCAGGTATAGCTGCCATGTGAAAGAACCACATCCCATATTGGGAGCAGTCTCTGATACTCTGTTTCAGATCCATCTTCCTGCTAATGTTCTGGGGAGGCAGTGGATGATGGCTCAAGTGCTTGGGTCCCCAATACCCATGTGGGAGACTCAGATGGATTTCCTGGCTCCTGGCTTCAGCCTGTCTCAGCCCCAATCATTGACGCCATTTACCATTTGAGGAGTGAACCAGCAGATGGAAGAACTCTCCTCTCCCTCAATACCACTCTGCCTTTCAAATACATGTCTTTTTAAAAAAATAACTTAGACCTACTTTCATTAAGATATAGAAATAGTACAGTATCCTATACACACAAAATTTTCTCTTCCTCAGTTATCTGAGTGGCCATACATATATCTCTTTTCTGACAGGCAGAGTTATAGACAGTGAGAGAGACAGAGAGAAAGGTCTTCCTTCTGTTGGTTCACTCCCCAAATGGCTGCCATGGCCGGCGCTGCGCCGATCCGAAGCCAGGAGCCAGGTGCTTCTTTCTGGTCTCCCATGTGGGTGCAGGGACCCAAGCACCTGGGTCATCCTCCACTGCCCTCCCAGGACACAGCAGAGAGCTGGACTGGAAGAGGAGCAACCGGGACTAGAACCCAGTGCCCATATGGGATGCTGGCGCCGCAGGTGGAAGATTAACCAAGTGAGCCACGGCACAAGCCCAGTCATACATATTTTTAATATTTCCTGAGTTAGATGCTACCGAAGAAGCTATTTAACTTAAACTCTTGTACCGATTATGAGTGCTGTGCTTTTCTGTCCATTTGTGCTGCTATAAATTTGCTTATTTCAGATGTAAAGAAAATTTCCGATTGTTCCCAGTCATACAGGTGAGCTATATGAATACATTATCTGTCATAATTTGATCATCTCAATCTGTCAGAGATTAGAAAATGTCTTCTCATTAGTCATCATTAACATTTGCAAGGAGAGAAGATAGACTGTGAATTCCCAAAGCACACAGCATCCTTTAACTAAGCAACTCCTTTAGGTGAAAGAACCTTGAGGATGTGCCCAAGGTCAAACGGATAGTGAAGGTTGAAATAGAACATAATGGACTCCATGTCTCAAATGTATCTGTATGAGCCTGAGCCATGGCTGTGCTAGTTTCCTTTCCTCTCTTCTACTCAATTTTCTTCTCCTTTCTCCCCTCCCCTCCCTCTTTATTCCACCCCCTTTCAATTTCCTGAACTTTATCTTTACAAAGTCTGCCCTTCCTGTAGCTATTGACTTTATTTACATTTGCAGTCTTTTCTGTTGGGTTACATTTGCTTCTGGGAGATCCAGCCGGTCCAACAGGTCTGGTTTGGAAACCTGCAATGGATTTTCTATGTGTACAGTGACAGATTTTGATAGTTCCTCTCTCAGAACCATTCCTTTCTTTTCAATAGGACGTGTATCCATTTTCATTCATCTATTGCCAATATGTATCCCCGAGCTTTGACTGCTTTCTCTGGAAATGTCCAAGGCTCCACTTCTCTAATCATGGGGAATCTGGCACCAAAGTAAGCTGGTGACGGTTTGCTCTGGAGAAGGACCTTGGCCAGGAGGACAATTTTCGTTGTTTGCCTTCCGATTCATTGTCACATTAAAGCAGGTAGATGTAAAAGCTATTACAAAATTCTTTGGATATACTTCAGCATTTCTTTGGCTCTTTAAACATCTCAAGTACAGTGAAGTGCGATCTTTTCCAACTCAGCCAAAATAATAAACTCCTGCCTCTGATGTACGCACATTACAGTATCTTGTTTGTGGGATTTCAATAAAAGAAGCTGTCAGTGCTTTTATATCCTCAGCACAAACATGTCACGTGTACATGACAGAAGTCATAAGGTAGTGCTGTGACTGACACTTTGATCACAGGGGTAAAATGTCAGTGCAGTACTTCTTTGGTCCTTATGGAAGCATTGTGCACGAAGCCTAGGTGAGCAGAGTATGTACCTGGGATTAACTTCATTCAACTGCAGGTGCAAAGTACCCCGTAGGGATTTCACAAGCGACATTTCTTCCTTGAATCCATGCAGACCCACCCACCGTCATGGGTCTTTTGAGACAAGCCAACTGTTTTTATGAATCTTCTGTGCCCAGGCTCTCTTTCTCCTCACCTGGGAGCACAAAACTCATTCCCATATCCATGTTCACAGGAGAGCC